ACAGGCAATTATAATTTTGTGATTGTTCTAGATAGGCTGTGTACTACTATTTGACATAGGTTTCATCCAAATCCCCGGGTTACATATGGAGAGCTTATCGTGTGAGCTCCGAAGCTGATTTTTTTTCGTTAGAATTTTTAAAGTAATGCTGATTTAGAAAAATCAATAATAAAACTGACCCACCTAACAAAATTTCGGGTGCTCTAAATACCAGGGTCTGAACTCTCTTGAAGACATGTTGTTCGCCATGTTGCGGATGGAACTTTGCATTTCCATAATCGATGACTTTCACGCCGGTGCCGGTCATCTTGATTACTGTGTGTTTCGGACCATGTTCTGTTTCGTAGGAAAAATCTTCAATAAAAACGATGTTGTCCATTTTAAGGTCTAAGTGAAAAATCTCCAACGTTTCCAGATGATGCATAGCTTCCGCCACTTGTTTCCCAATTTTTCTAATGTCGGTAAGCGAAAACGCTGCACGTTGAGAACTGTGCAGATCCCTGTCAACCTCTAAAAACATAATAGGTTTTTAGATGAAAAATTGGGAACGATGAATGATATTTCAAGAGCCTTTGTTTCTACTTTGAGCTAGTTTCTACCGTAAAATATATATTCCGCCGAAACTCACTATTATAAACGTCAAGAAGCGATGGTCCACAAGCAGGAGTGATAAAGACTTTCTGGGTGCAAGTTGGTGGAGGATTGATTAATAAACCCTTCAAATGTAATAAGAGAAGATTCTTGTGCGGATTTGCGGCAATTTTTTCGTACGTCTGAAACAATTTACACATCAAATTTTCATCAAATTTTCACTCACTTCTTCTTCTGGTATAGCAAGATACACCCTGTTTCGTTCCTTAATGACTTTTGCTGCGTAGTCTTTGTTGTCTTCTCCTCTTACAAAATAAACGATACCGAACACGCCTTCTCCAAACTTGCCATTCACAATAACTGAAATATTTTATATTTGAACCAATTGGTTCTAGTTATTTCACTCACATTTCTGTCCAGTCTGCAATTCCAAAACCGACGGTAAGTTGTGAATATCTGATTGTAATGACTTGTGAATATCTGATTGTAATGGATTCTCGATTTCTAGTTCTGGAGGTGTTGATATTTTTGAACTGACCCAATCTGGGTCATCCGTGTCAACCGGCGGTGACATCTAAAACCTATCAGTAATTATTGAACAAACAATATTTGATTTTGAAGAAGACTGATTTTTTTTTAAAATAATCATCTTCATCTCTTTTAAATCTCACCTTATGAGTCCCCATATCTCCGGTGGTTTGTGAATTCTCTTGTTGGATGTTGGACAAAACTCTAGACTCCAAACTTTTGGTTTTGGATATCGGCGACTGAGTAAACTTTGACATTGTAGTCATTTCTAGTTGTATCTCTTTTCTGACTTCTTTGCCTTTTGATGGTGACTGCTGAAAATATAGTCTCTTACAGACGAAATACAAGAATGAAATCAGAATTTTCATATTTCTTGTTGTTGTTAACATTATTTCCAATAACTCACTTTTTCATCAGCCATCGCACTGGAGCTAGTAGGCTCCTCATTCTCTTGTGTTGCGTCATCAAGTACTTTCTTTTTTTTCTGATCGGAATGAGGCAGCGACTCTTGATTTCTCTTCATTGTTCTGTTGCCTGAAAATCTATGAATTAACAAATTAACAATTCTCACTCAAAAAATTTTTTTGATGAAGAAAGCGTTCGCAAAACAGTGAAAATTGCAGAAAAAGAATAACAAAATAAAAGAACACCATATGGCCCTGTAAACTGTGATACGGGGAGGCACTTCTCAGAAAAGAAAAATCAGAAATGTGAATAAAAATGAAGTGGTCTCTATCTGTGCAGAAGGACGCATACTCGATTGTCCGCAACATGGCGTCTCGGTGTTGGCACTGCGATTGCTGCATATTCTACGACACATAACCGATCTTATCTCTGCGGCGATCTCTCATTTGCTGCACCCACCCTCCCCACCCTCCCCACTCCCCCCTCTTCTCTCTTCTTCTCCAGCTCAGTTTTTATTGATTTTTTGATATGTGTCTCTTTCAATTTGAAGGCTCCATTTTCGTGAAACAGACTAGTTCTTTTTCATCATTAGTTGCACAAATTTTTTTCGTTTTCCTCCCGTTCAAATTGTGTTCAAAAAATTAAGAAACAATGATATTTCTTTCAGGTAATCATGGTCAGTCGTTATAGATGCCCTTTTAAGAATCTACTGATTCTGGATTTTAACACCACTTGCGAGGAAAATAACTATGTTTACCCCACTGAAATCATCCAGATGAGTGTTTCAGTTCTGAACATCAGAGATAAATTAATCGTGAGTTTCAAAAATCAATATGCATTCAATTAATATACTTAGTTTCAGAGAGAAGATCAGACTTTTAACCGATTCGTTTGTCCGGTGATCAATCCAGTGCTTTCCGAATATTGTGCCCGAAAGACAGGTGATTTTATTTTTCTCAAACTGCCAAACTAAAAAACTTTTGCAGGCATTGATCAAAATTCGATCAACACCGCGGATACGTTTCCAGTGGTCTACGACCAATTCGTTGCATGGCTCCGAGAGCATAACTTCCAACCTTCGTGTGCGAGGATCATCAAACCATTTGGCTTATTGCGCAGTACCAGTTTTTGTTGCTTGATCAGTCGATGCCAGCTATTTTCCGTCAATGGAATAACATTACGAGTGTTTTCCATATCCTTCTTCCCGAAAGAAATTATGATAACCTTCCTGGAGAGGTTAGTTTTTTTGAATATTCCTAATTCTTGGAGCACCTAGCACTTTTTAAATAATTATATGATAATTAAACTTGGGAAAAACTTTTAAAAAACAATAATTCCAGACTTTCGTCGACAAGGCATCCAACTATTACAACATTGAGATCATTGGAAATGCCCACAACGCTGTGGACAAATCTACTTTCCTGGCTAAAATCACCAAGCAAATTCTCGACGACAACAACTTGATCACTGTGACCCGTTCTCTCAGATGCAACGTTACCGTAAGTTTCTGAATAGTTTCACTTAAACATAGTCATCTGATTATGTTGCAGAGTCGCAGAGTTCCGTTAAACGTCGATCCAAATTGGATAACCACGTTCCAATCGGCGATGCTTGTTTTCGGAAGAATGTTGCCTCTCGTACCGGCTGTCGTTTATAGATACTTCACGGATGACGACTATGCCAAGTGTCAGTACTGCAAGAATTATGCAGATGGTTGCACTGGCTTGGTCCACAAACAATATCCCCATGACGTGTATCAGCAGCTCGTGGAACCTAGTGTTTTTGCCACCGCTGCTAAACTCGATGTCGATTTCGACGTCGATGACGAAGACGAGGATCAAACCATTTTTGATATTCATCATAACTCGTCATCGTTCCTGAAAGAGTATAATATTCTAGTTAATCCGAATTTTTTGTTAATTTTTTAGAGATCAAATCTCTTTTTTTTCATCCCGCTCCCATGTTATGCCATACATATTTCACGTGTTTCTTTCATTTTTCCTGTCACCTTTCTACTGCATTCAACTGTTCCCAATATTTTTTTTGCGGTCCATGCCTAGTTTCTAACTAGAACTTTGATATATTAATAAAATGAGGGAACTAAAATCAGTGCTGTTTTTTGAAACTAAAATAATATATGTGCTGACCAACGGTCATTGATTGAAAAAGTCTGGAAATTTTGTCATCATCATTTCGAACAGTCCGAATTTCCCTCATGGTCTTCAGGTATTTGAAAATTGTAGTCGTCTTCTCGTCATTAGTACTTCTTTGGTTTGTTATTTCTACGTCATCTTGGTTTGTTGGTGTTGGAAGTGGGAGACACGATGACAACTCAGTGCATAACTTAACGTTCTAATTTCAATCTATTCTCTCCTCACTCTGACTTCTAGATTTCAATGACAAAATTGATAGTTCCTTCTTTTACGTTATGCGAAAAAAAGAGTGAACTTAATTAAACCAATCTGAAATGATGAAAACCTGAATATCATATGGCCGTATTTATAAAATTAACTTTTGTGAATCATTTACTCTCGAAAAAACAACTGAAAAACGTGAAAATTAAAGGAAAATCATTTCCTTTTTGGTAAATAGGGGTACCAATTTTGTTTGCTGTTTACAACCACTTTTTGGAAACTTTTCATTCCAAAAAAGTTATGTATGAAAAGAATAGTATTGTAACATCAATATTATCTAACTTTGAACTGATATTTCGTTTCGGTTCAACTCAAATATTATGATTTTTGTTACAAATGACATGAATGAATAGATCATTGAATTTAAAGTAATTTGTCAAAAAATGAGCATCTTTCAGTTTATAGTAATGGAGAAAATCTATTTCGAAGTCGTTTTCCTATCTAAAAAACAGGAAAACTATTTACAAATAGGAAAACGATTTTTAGTACATTTTCACGCTTCCATTTACCTTTTGGTAAATGATTCAGTTGATTTTCTGAGGATAAATGATTTACAAAAGTGAATTTCATGAATACGGCCTCTGTTGTAGGGAAATCATGTTCATTTTAAAGTTCTCAATCTCATGAAAATAATTTATTGATAACCGTGAAAAACGAGAGTAGGTAATTTTCAAACAGAAATATTTGTTATGAATAAAATAACCAGGAATAAGGAAAATACAAATTTGGAAACACTTGAAAATTAAAAACATAAAAGATCATGGAACATTTTACCAGTTCGAATTAATTTGCAGTGTTGTATGTGAAGAATTCCGATGATTCAAAATTGACCTAACAAGGGAACCATGTTTAGCCTTCATCTCAGAATTTTTTCTAAATTTGCTCATTTATAGTTTCAAACACGGGCTTTTTTGTGGTCTATTTAGTTCTCTGTCCAAATTTCTAGAAGTCGAGTTATGGGCTGTTTAAGTGATTTCAGTACTAATTGCTCACTTTTGGAGTGAGTTTTTGAAAGGGTTAATGGGAGTTTCTTGGCATTGTTTGAAAGTCAATCGCAATTTTAAAAGTTTCCCTACAATCTGACAAAGTTTCCTCTTTTTTCAAAAAAAAAATTTTTTTGGAAAAAATTTTGCTATGGGTACCCTTTGCGAAATTTTCAATTTTTCGAAAAATTTTTAAATGTGTTAAAATGAATTCTAAACGCATAAAAATAATAAAATGAGTCTTTTCACAAGATTCTGTAGCCTATATCCGTTTTGAAATCCGAAATAAGTGATTTCTTCCAAAACTCCAATGAATCGTAGTCCTTCGAAAATCACCCAATAGCACTCAAATATTGTGAAAACATAGATTTACATACTTCTTGACTGATTTATAACAGTCCCGCAACCAATATGATCAAACAGGGGGAATTCGACTGACATTTTGAGTAGATAAGGCTTTTCAGCAGTACTTCAAGAATTTTTCAGAAATTATCTTTTTCGAGCTTTTTTCCTACTGAAATAATAGAGCAAACATAGTTTTGATTTTCGAAGAGTTCAAAGCATTCCTCCAACATCAAAAAAAAAAAAGAAAAAAGAAAATGGACAGTGACGGAATCGAACCCCAAACTTGTGATTACTATTTGTCCTCACTATCCACTCGGCCACTGTTGCTTGTTTCTTCCACAGTGGAAAATGTATAGAGGAAAGGGGGGAAGTGGAAGGGAAGGAGGAGACCAAAAAACAGCATATTTTCAGATGGACTTTCCTCGGCTTCTAGAAATTTGTGCAAAACCAAATACATCACGAGTAAGCCCGTATTCGAAACTACAAATGAGCAAATTTAGAAAAAATTCTGAGGTGAAGGCTAAACATGGTTCCCTTGTAAGGTGGAGGGTAAAAATGTAACGAAATCGATTTTTGACTGAAGCTCCTGGTTGATATGGGGATTATTTTGAAATTGAAACGTATTTTTTCAATTTCAGGAATCCCACATTCTGTCAAAACAGATGTGTGGTCAATGGGATGCATGCTTATGCAAATGTATATCGGAGAAGAACCTTTCGTGTTCCAAAGTGGAAATTCGACATTGGAGGAGGAACAGAGTCAATTTAAGGATATCATCTACACTCTCCAAACCACTGTCCCAGAAGAGCTTCTGGAACAGTCAAAGCGGGGAGGGTGAGTAACAACAAGTTTATTAATGTAGTTTTGAGAAACAATCAATATAAAAACAGATGTGCGTTTTCAGAAAGTGCCACCTCGACCTCACCTTCCTTGAATATTTCGAACAAGAAGAGGAGCAAGGCATTCGGAAAAAAATGCGTCAACAGAAGATCTTCAACTGTTTCTACTACTCGATCTCATGTTCACTGTTGACCCATCCAATCGCCCATCATTTTTCGAAGTGAAGGATCACGAGTTTTTTGGCAAAACATAAGGAGATCAAATAAATTGTTCATTCCATCTAATTTTTGAAGACCTGTAATCTCACTGTTCCTTGATTTTACTGGTACAAATTTATTCGGTACAAAATCAGCTTCAATTTTTTGTCATTCTCATTTCAAAATCATCTATCGTGTTTTCAAAGTTCCCCATGTGAAAAAAAACTGGTTTCTTTAATAATTATTTTTTTACCAGTCCTCTGTCTGCCGCGCCTTCGGCGCAATTCAACATTTATTGTTTGTCGCTCCGCTCCTCACTTTTTGATTTTTCTTTCTCACGCTGGTATACATCTACGCCCTCCCTCCCCTCTCCCGTTGTGGTCCTCATAGCGCAGCTGTGTGCGTGCGCAGCCGTTGTGAAGAAGGCCGCGGGTTCGGTTTTGGTGGCGGTGTAACATAACAATGTTTTTGTGCCATTAGCATTGTGTTACCAAATAGGAGAAACATGAGTCTTTCATTTAAACTAATTTATTGAGTGCGAGATGCCGAATTGTGGTTCAAAATCAGGGAATCCACCAAAGCCTCCGAACTGTTGACCACTCGAAGTGGAAGCATATTGATTTGCTCCAGACCATTGTTGAAATTGATTGGCAAGGATTTGTTGCTGTTGGTGGATACTGGGGTACGGTAACTGATCTGGTAGTGGCATAGGTGCTGGAACGACGCCTGGTCCTGAATAGTCAGCATGGGGAACTGACCAATCTTCGAAAGTCTACTGAGTCCATAATTGGGTCTATAGCTTGACTTGAATCGATTGCTGAAACACTGAAACATAATGATTAGTCTGCAGAAAATAAATGTATAGTGCATGGATGTGAAATTTGCAAAAAAAAAGTTATAAAAAGTTGTTAAAAAACAACGGTTCCGCACGCTTTTCTGCACCTCTCGTTCTCTGATTTGGTTGGTTTCTACTTTGAGCTAGTTTCTACCGTAAAATATATATTCCGCCGAAACTCACTATTATAAACGTCAAGAAGCGATGGTCCACAAGCAGGAGTGATAAAGACTTTCTGGGTGCAAGTTGGTGGAGGATTGATTAATAAACCCTTCAAATGTAATAAGAGAAGATTCTTGTGCGGATTTGCGGCAATTTTTTCGTACGCCTGAAACAATTTACACATCAAATTTTCATCAAATTTTCACTCACTTCTTCTTCTGGTATAGCAAGATACACCCTGTTTCGTTCCTTAATGACTTTTGCTGCGTAGTCTTTGTTGTCTTCTCCTCTTACAAAATAAACGATACCGAACACGCCTTCTCCAAACTTGCCATTCACAATAACTGAAATATTTTATATTTGAATCAATTGGTTCTAGTTATTTCACTCACATTTCTGTCCAGTCTGCAATTCCAAAACCGACGGTAAGTTGTGAATATCTGATTGTAATGACTTGTGAATATCTGATTGTAATGGATTCTCGATTTCTAGTTCTGGAGGTGTTGATATTTTTGAACTGACCCAATCTGGGTCATCCGTGTCAACCGGCGGTGACATCTAAAACCCATCAGTAATTATTGAACAAACAATATTTGATTTTGAAGAAGACTGATTTTTTTTTAAAATAATCATCTTCATCTCTTTTAAATCTTACCTTATGAGTCCCCATATCTCCGGTGGTTTGTGAATTCTCTTGTTGGATGTTGGACAAAACTCTAGACTTCAAACTTTTGGTTTTGGATATCGGCGACTGAGTAAACTTTGACATTGTAGTCATTTCTAGTTGTATCTCTTTTCTGATTTCTTTGCCTTTTGATGGTGACTGCTGAAAATATAGTCTCTTACAGACGAAATACAAGAATGAAATCAGAATTTTCATATTTCTTGTTGTTGTTAACATTATTTCCAATAACTCACTTTTTCATCAGCCATCGCACTGGAGCTAGTAGGCTCCTCATTTTCTTGTGTTGCGTCATCAAGTACTTTCTTTTTTTTCTGATCGGAATGAGGCAGCGACTCTTGATTTCTCTTCATTGTTCTGTTGCCTGAAAATCTATGAATTAACAAATTAACAATTCTCACTCAAAAAATTTTTTTGATGAAGAAAGCGTTCGCAAAACAGTGAAAATTGCAGAAAAAGAATAACAAAATAAAAGAACACCATATGGCCCTGTAAACTGTCTTTTTCATTTCCTTTTGTTTCTCAATATTCCTTCGTTTTTTTCCGAATTTCCGTTTTTCCCAATTTTTCTTAATTTTCCTCAATTTTCGCGATAATTTAAATTTTTCTCATTTTTAATGATTTTCTAGATTATTGATTGAAGGAAACAATCACAATTTAGATATTTCCCACAAACAACGAAAATCCCAAAAATTGGCCCTAAATGAGCTAT